AGGATAAGAACACAGGCATGAAAATCTCAGATATCCCACAGAGCAATATTTCACTGATACGTTGTCCCCTAGAGCAAGGGACATAAAGAAAAGAATAAAGAAATAGGACTTCATCAAAATAAAAAGCTTCTGCACAGCTAAAGAAGACATAAGCAAAATTAATAGGGAACCAACTGTATGGGTAAATATATTTGCAAATGATACTTCAGACAAGGGTTTGATCTTCAAAATATATTAAGAATTCACATGACTCCACTCCAGGAACACAAACAATCCAGTTATGGGCACAGGACCTGAACAGACACTTCTCCAAGGAAGACACACAGAGAGGGCCCAGAGACATATGAAAGGATGCTCTGCATCAGTAGCCATCAGAGAGATGCAAATTAAAACCACAATGAGATACCACTTCACACTGGTCAGAATGGCCATCATAAACAAAGCAACAAACAAGTGTTGGAGAGGTTGTGGAGAAAAGGGGAGCCCGGTGCACTGTTGGTGGGATTGCAGACTGATACAACCACTGTGAAAAACAGTATGGAATTTCCTCAGAAAATTAAAAATGAATCTGCCTTTTTACCAGTAATTCCACTGCTGGGATTATACCTCAAGAACCCTGAAACACCAATTCAAAGGAACCTATGCATCCCAATGTTCACAGCAGCACAATTTACAATAGCCAAGTGCTAGAAACAGCCTAAGTGCCCTTGAGTAAATGAGCTGATCAAAAGCTATGGTACATTTACACAATGGAATACTACGCTGCTGAAAGTAGGAATACCAACCCTTCACAACAGCATGGATGGAACTGGAGAGTATTATGCTAAGTGAAATAAGCCAGGCAATGAAAGATAATTACAATATGATCTCACCAAAAGTGGAACTTAATCAATGAAAAAAACAGTGAGCAAAATAGAACCAGAGACTTGGAAATAAAGAATAAACTGACAGTAAGCAGAGGGGAAGTGGGGAGTGGGTAACAGGGGAAAGACAGGGAAGGCTCATCAAGGAACATAGATAAAGACAACATTGGGAAAAAGGATTGAGGGTTGGTGGTGGGGGTGGTTAGCATGGGGGAGAGTAATGGGGAGAAAATGGGGAAAACTTTAATTAACAATAAAAATTAATAAGAAAAATATAGAATAATAAAATAATAATAAAACAATTCATGATTTTGCTAAAATGTATTTACATTTTAATTGATAGCATATCAACGGGAAATTGAAAAAAGAAAGATATAAATTTCTCAAAATATTAACTAATTAATTGTTTTTAAAAGAAAAATAAATAATTTATTTATTTTTAGAGAGAGGGGTAGGGAGGGAAAAAGACAGGGAGAGAAACATTGATGTGGACTTATAGCCAAGACAGAGGAGTAGGTAGACACACTATGCTTCCTTGTACAATTAAAAGAACAATAAAAAACTTAAAAACAAAATTCAACAAAAACTGACAGAAATTTGAACTGTATGGTCTGATAACCAAGCAGTTAAAGAAACATTCATCAAGACCTGTAGGAGAAGGGCAGTGACAAGCAGCTGAGGTGGAGAGGACAAGAGGCAAGGTAGAGGCGGGTGGACCGGGTGGTCCCACATTTGCATGCAGATAAACTGAGATGAACAACTGGGGAGTGAGAGAGACTGTACAAACCAGGGTTCCAGTGTGGAAATAAAGCATCAAAACCCTTGATTGACAAAACCTGTGATGGTTGCGGCAGTGGGAGAAACTCCCAGCCTCACAGAAGAATTCATTGGAGAAACCCAAAGGGTGCTACAAAATACACAAACTCACCTACCAGGGAATTAGTACCAGTTGGGCCCAATTTGGTTGTGGGTAGTGGGGAAAGTGACTGAAAGCTGGTGGAAAGCTGAGCAAGCACCATTGTTCCCTCTCAGACCCCTTCCCAGGATACAGAATTATTAAGCAGCAAGTGGGTTGTCCTGCCTTGGTAAATGCCTAAGGCTCCACCTCTTATGATATAACAGGCATGTGGAGACAAAACAATATGCCTAAATGAAAGAACAGATCAAAGTTCCAGAAAAAATACAACTAAGCGATGAAGAATTAGCCAACCTATCAGACACACAGTTTAAAACACTGGTAACAGAATGCTCACAGAAATGGTTGAGTATAGTCACAAATAGAGGAAAAAGTGAGGGCTTTGCAAAGTGAAAAAAAGGAAAATGTACAGGGAACCAACAGTGGTGGGAAGGACATCAGGACTCAAGTCAATGGTTTGGACAAGAAGAAAGAAATAAACATGCAACCAGAACAGAATGCATAACAAGAATTCAAAAAAATGAGGAGAGGCTTAGGAACCTCCGGGACAACTTTAAATATTCCAACATCTGAATCATAGGGGTGTCAGAAGGAAAAGAGCAACAGCAAGAAAGTAAAAACTTACTTGAAAACATAATGAAGGAGAACTCCCCCAATCTGGCAAAGGAAATAGATTTCCCGGAAGTTCAACAAGCTCAAAGAGTCCCAAAGACGCTGGACGGAAGGAAGCACACACCAAGGCACATCACCATTACATTACCCAAAATTAAATATGAGAAGAGAATCTTAAAAGCAGCAAAAGAAAAGAAGATAGTTACCTACAAAGGAGTTCCCATTAGACTATCAGCTGATTTCTCAAAAGAAACCTTGCAGGGAAGATGGAGCTAGAAAGAAGTATCCCAAGTCATAAAAGACAATGACTGTCTTTCAACCCGGATTACTTTGCCCAGCAAAGCTATCATTTAGAATGGAAGGGCAGACAAAGTGCTTCCTGGATAAGATCAAGTTAAAGGAGTTCATCATCACCAAGCCTGTACTGTATGAAATGTTAAAAGGATTTACCTAAGAAAAAGATGTTCCAAACTATGAACAGTAAAATGACCACAAACTCACAGTTATTAACAACTGAACCTAAAAAAAAAATAACAAAAACAAACTAAGCAAACAATTAGAACAGGAACAGAATCACAGAAATGGAGATCACCTGGAAGTTATTAGTGGGGAGGAGAATGGGATGAATGGAGGAAAAGGTACAGGGAATAAGAAGCATAAATGATAGGTACAAAATAGACAGCAGGGGGCAGTTAGGAATGGTGTAAGAAATGTAGAGGCCAAAGAACTTGTATGTACAACCCATGGACATGAACTAAGGGGAGAGGAATGCAGGTACAGGGTGGAGGGGAATAAAGGGAGGAAAAACAGAAAAAAATCGATGTGTTGCCTTCCACATGTGCCCCATTTGGGGCTTGGGCCCTGCAACCAGGAATGGAATTGGTGACCTTTGGCTTTGTGGAACAACGCCCAACCCATTGAGACTCACTGGTCGGGGCAACCTAATTGATGTTCCAGAGTCAGCAGTGTAAGCTTTTAAGGAGATGACACTTTTCAGTATAAAGGAGAACTTCTCTTCTAATTTTTACATGTAATATCTTAGGAAGTTGTCAGTGGTGTATCTCTGCCCTAATTTTAAATATGATTGAAAAGAAGTTTAAATAACCAAATGTAGAGTAAGGAATCAGTAATGCAAATAGGAAAAAAAAAAGTCTCCCACTGTACTTAAGTACCACTGACACTGCTCTACTAAGAATGTGTTTATCAGGAATGGCATAAAAGAACAAATTTATAGACTGAAATCAATTATTTCATGACCAAGTGTTAAACACAAAAACACCTGAATGGTTTATAAGTCTGCCACATTTAGCATACATCTAATCACACAAAAATAATTTATCATTAAAGGCCTTTTTAATATAGGTTAAGGTTGCTGCCACTTGATGTTTTGTATCTTAAGGTTTTAAAAAATGCTCTAAATTCTAGGTGGTTTTTAACTTTGTAATCTTTGGGAAGGAAAACTGAAACTTCCTATAAACTCAGATTAAAGCCTGCTAGTGCATAGAAATAAAAAGAAAAACTAAGACCTTCTTCCATCTATAAAAACAAAATAGTGTGGCCTCTGTTTCTTTTCTGATAAGAGTCTTAAATACCAAACAGTTAACTGCATAATAACATATACTGGCAGCCAGGCAGCCTGCTTAGCAGATATATAAAGCAGGTAAAAGGAGAAAAAGTTAATTTCTTGGCTGAATGATTCCATCGGTAGCTAGAGGGCAAACCTGAAAGTCTTTTAGTAAAGTAGCAGTTGATTCTTCTATCAATCTGTAGCACACATACTCTTCCAAGGAAAGCATTAAATATGAAAATCATATCCCGTTATCATCTGTTTCCAGCTTTCAGCCCTGTAAGCTTTTCTTAATGAATGCTGCAGCCTAAGGAACAAGCACGCTGTTGGCTTTTTCTGAATAATGGAGTAATGCTACCATTTTTGCTTATTACAATATCGACTGGCTGAGGGGGTTTTACACATAGTCACAAGTGACTACTCTTGCCAGCATGCTCCAAGTTATTACGAGATGTTTTTAGACATTTCATCTAAAAGAGCTTTACTGCTTTTAGTGAAGAAAACATCTATGGTCTTGAACAGAATCATTTATATGGAGATAGGCGGGAGGATTAGAAGCCTGCATTATGGCAGATACATAGCAGAATTCATTTAAGTATTCCTTTCCAGTCTTTTTGTCTGTTGCTTAGATATGCAGTCCTTTCTTTTCACTTTATCTGTGAAAAGGTTAAAAATGTACAAAATTACATATACCAAAAAAGAAGCAAAATGCCACATTTTATTTATTTTTCATTTAATATGGTTTTGAAAATAAGATAAAGAGCAGCTACAAAACATTACTTAGGAAAACACAATTTTACCTACTAACAACACAGGTTTTCTTTGGAATCTCTCTCTTTTATACCCACAGTCACTGCCTTTCAGCTAATTTGATTGAATTATAAATTAAAGCAATACGCTCTAAGCAACAGTCTTTAAATAATCACTTAAGGTTTAATTAAAAAAATCTTTGTCATAAGATGCTTTTTAAAAAGAATATCTTAAAAGATGAACACTCCAAAAATCCTCTGTTGACAGAATGTTTATCATTTCAATTTATTACCTTTTCTCTGTCTTCATTCTTTGGTTCACCTTTCACTCCCAGGCTATCTTTTGAGGGTAGCTGCATCTCAATTTGAGCCTCATACTCAATCTAAATATAAACAAAGTTTGATCTTGTCATGGATAAAATTGCAACTAGCACCTCCCTATATTTTTAGTCTTTACAGAATAAATGGAACAGTGAGGTAGAAAGTAAAACTAATATTGCTGAGAAATTCAACTTATAAGATAGACAATTTCACAAACAAAATGTATAAAAAGCTGAATTCTACAAAGTGTTATATGTTTTTAAATAAAATAATATTCAATGGATTTTTACTTAGTCTCTCATCAATCCAGGGAGTAAAATCTTGATATACTAAGCTATCATAAAAAATCCAGTTACTTTATTATGAAAGTAACACATAAAATGCTATTTTCTCTGAAAAGTTTTGTTCTAAACAAAGGAAATCAATCTTACTATTTGTGTTATATCTACATAATAATCATGGTTCTACTAGTTACAATGGAGTAAATTATTTGCTAGATCATCAACTTAACACAAATATTATTTTCTATGAATAAAAATACACTGCAGACATCAGAGACTCAAACCATAGCAATCAAGTTTGCTTTGGCACTAATAACTACATAAAAATATCTGCATCATTATCCCACTATAATTGATTAAAGTGATTCCATCATAAAATGACTTTTTCTTAAAAGCAAGGCATAAAAAATCTCTTTGATTCAGTATATTAAGAATTAAAGCCTAAAAAAGTCACTGAATGTGGTCCATCACAGGTAAGCATCAGAACATTTTCTAAATTAGGCAGTGATGCACTGCAATTAAAAACACACCTATGAGATTATCAATTTAGAAAACTGCTTCCTCAGTTCTTAGTCTGAACATAAAATAGTCTCGAGCTTTGTTTCGACACACAAAACCCAAACAGATAATACTAACCAAAATTGACTTGTTTCTCTCAAAATATATTAAAAGATAGTATATGCTGCCTCATTTTTAATAAGTTAAGCAGGAATTTTTGTTTTCTCTATCAGAATGTTATTAACATGATACATGGCAGTAATGACCTAAATAAATACTGAATTCTGAATTAAATAAATGTTTATAAGGCCAGAACAAACAATAAGATGAAGCAAAAAATAAAGAAACAGGTAATTATGAAAATATATTTTACATCTATTTCATATCTACTCCTTTGAACTCAGAAATATTTAATTTTTAGCCCCAAGAACTTTCAACAGGCATACTTTCCACATTCCAAGGCAAAGTATCTTTAAAAAGGGATGAGAGGTACATTACCAAATAAACAAAGGTTTATTTAGTAATCCTAGATTAAGCAAAAATTCTTTGTTCCTGTGACTGCAAATGTTTTCTTCTGCTCTTTGAGATTGGTTACAAACATGCAATGGGCATGGCACGTGATTTCCTCATTATGGAAACATTTCTAAGCCATACCTTCCAAAGACAGAGCACTTTCTCACAGAAACATAGGAGTGTTACTCATTTTGCTAAAGCAAAAAGTGATAACCACATTAAGGCTTCATATGGATAAGTAAGGAAAAGTATCAAGAGTCCAATTTATTGACTGTTCTCAATGCACCTGAAAAATTTACTGAACTACAGGTGCTCTCCTAAATTACTGATTCAAATAAAAATTGTACAATGTATTTGAAATAAAAGACTTGCTGTGGCAAACTAATAACTGATACAAACTGGAACTCTGTATCATCTACGACCATGGACTTCCCCCTAAAACTGCTCTGCTCTCTTCCTTTGCCTTTTGTTTATATATATGGTACTTGGTTATCATCCATCAAATCTATACCCTGAACACTGGAGAGCGGGGGTTTTCAACCATGCTCTGCCGAGGTCATAAAGCCCCTTAGTTCCACTTTCTCTTTTATCTGCATTTAAACAAAGGGTTCTACTATGTTTAAAAGTTTGTTTTTAAGTTTGGAAAATACTGTATAGATGAATCTTTCCAAGACTTTCCCAGCTAAAACATGTCTGACAAAACAGCAGAGCATGTGTCCCTCTATGCATCTATTTCTCCAACAATCAGTCTTTCATGTTTCATTATCTTTTTCTTCCCTGATCAGGGCTCATATGTTTCTCATATTTTCACAATACATCAGGGCTTAACCACATCCTTTCTCCCTGGTGCAGACTCAGCTCCCTATTCCCTTCTTGCCACGTGACCTAGATTCCTCACAGTCAGATCTGCTGCATCAGGGGCCAAACTACCCATGCCCAGTAGTTTCTGATGGTCTAGCGCTTCTCTAAATTTAATCTCCACATCCCCTAACTCCTCCAGGGGAAATTTGTTTAAAAAAACCCATGAGCATTAAATTAACTGGGTTCTTCATCCAGTAACTTGTTCTGTTACTGTACTGCTTTGCAACACTGGGCTTGATGCTGCCCACCTAAATTTAGGAGGACCTTTCTATTCACTTCCTTACTCTGCACAAACAATTTACTTCTTTTCAATTAATATGATCTGTGGTCATGGGAAAAGCAGATGAAGGTTCCGGCAGATCTTTCAGGTCTCTGGGATCTCTTTCCATACTGAAAATACATCCTGTTTTCCATTACGTTTCCTTCTTTTCTTCTGTAGTCTCACTCACATTCTTTCAATTTCTCCCTTATTACTACTTTCCCAGAAGTACCTTTTTTTTCATAGTCTACCCTTTTTTTTCATTGGTCTTTGGGATTGTACAGTAATTCTCAGTTGCAAAACTGACAGACATTTAAAGCAGGAGACCTGGCTTCCTCATATTAGAATTGCAGAATCGGTACAGAAAGTTACATAAACTTTCTGACTTGACTCTCAGGTGAATATGAAAGATGGAACTAAAATTCAGTATTTTTTGTTTTCCTTCTATTTTTTTCCAGCTTCCTTTTAGATCCTGAATCAGGATCTAAGCTATGGAGCAATACTTATTTATTAAACTAGTTCATATTAATGGGCAAGACACTTTCATTATAGGATTTCCTATAGACTTTGTCGTCCAGGAAGCTGAAGGTCATGCTCTGCCCACAGAGGCTGCCACAACACTTAGTAGGAATTGAATGAGAGCTCGAAAAATTTGTTTGCCTCAAATTTTATCCCCTATAGGCACAAATAACCTAATGACTGAATTTTCCTCAAGAAAATTCCTCAAGAATCACATCTTTAAATAATGATATTATATCTTCAGAATGTCTCTATTAAGTACAAATACCCCTGGAAGGTATAACACAGGGTACAATCAATACCACATTAGTTCTTACATAGTTGTTCATGGTCCATAAAAGAACAAGACAAAAAACATGGAAGAATTAATTTTCAATCAAAGGGAGAGTTTCGAAACTTACTGAGTGCTTATTATATGCTATGTTCTGGGTCAGATAAAGAGTACAAAAATAATAACAAGGAGCTCATAGTGAGGTGGAAAAACAGACTCATAATCAATTATAACACCACAAAGGCAGTGCTTACTGAGATAACTATGACACAGACCTAAAGCAGGATAGAGGGAGAGAGGCCTTCTAGTTGAAGGATATAGGAGAAAATGTGGTACTTTCAAGGAAATACAAATTGTTTAGCATGTTTAAAATTCTGTGGGTGGTGCGAGTGAATGAATATGCATAAAAGAGAGTGCACACATCTGTGGGAGATAAAGATATAGACAGACGGTGGGCAGATATGGGGTTGGAAGAGACAGAAGAGATGGGGCATGTGGAGGAGACAGGAATGGGAGATCAGTGAGAGGGGGACCATAATCGGGGAGAAGACAGAGATAGGAGTGATGGAAATGGAGGGAGAAGGTGGAAGGAGACAGGTTGGAGACAAAATGTGCATATGTCTGCATTTGTTTGAGAGAGACAGAGAGAATGTGTGTGCGCATGTGTCTCAGGAGTTGAATCTGTGGGTTGGTATGCAGGCAGAGACCAGCCTCATGCACTTTGTCTTGAAAAGGCTGAGGACTCAAGGATTTCAGGCAGAAGAGTGACATAAATAGGTGATGACCTCCCTGCTTGGGGACCTTCTTTGAGTACCCGGGCATGTCAGCCCCATGCCTGACACTTGAATGTAGGAGGCTAAAGCAGATGCTGGCAGTGCCCCCCATTATTACAGGCCCCCCAAATAAAGTAGTATAATTCATATAATCAGTTTGACATATTTTTATGCTTTCAGTCCATTTAAAAATTTTCAATATTATATAATAAAGTGGGCCGAGTCTTACAAAGAGGGAGAAGTTCACTTCAAATAATTTGGGCAGGGACTTCAGGCCAAGATGGAGGCATAGGTAGACAGACTGCCTCCTTGCAGAATGAAAATAAGCACAACAAAAACACAACAATAACAACCAGAACTGAAGAAAATTGAACTGTAGGGAAGTCCCACAATCAAGGAGTGAAAATAGACACATTCATCCAGATTGGTAGAAAGGGCGGAGTCAGGCAGCTGAGCGGAGAGGGGTCTCAGCAAAAAAAAAAAACCAGTGGCACCAGGTGCACAAGGCAGCAGCTGACAAAACCGGGCATGCAAGTCGGCAGCAGATGGAGCCTGGATGCACAGGCAGTGGCTGGCAGACCCTGGGTGCAAGGTGGCAATGGGCAGATCCAGCGAGGTAGCAATTGTGAAGCAGAGCACGGCCCGCCAGGCAGCTGGCTGACTGGGCAGTCCCACATTCGTGGGCAGATAAGCCAGGCGAAACTGAAGAGTGAGACAGACGGAGCAACCCAGAGACCCAGCACGGGGAAATAAAGCCTCGAATAAAGCCTCGAAACACCAACTGAAAACACCTGTGGGGGTTGTGGTGCCAGGAGAGACTCCCAGCCTCACAGGAGAGTTCCTTGAAGAGACCCACAGGGTCCTAGAACATACACAAGCCCACCCACACGGCAATCAGCACCAGAAAGGCACAGTTTGCTTAGGGGAAGATGTGGGAGGGACTGGAATCCATTAGAGAGCAGAGCAAGCACCATTGTTCCCTCTCTGACCCCACCCCGACATAAACATCACAACCAAGCGATCTGGGTTGCCCCGCCCTGGTGAACACCTAAGGCTCCACCCCTCATACATAACAGGTGTGACAAGA